GACCGCCTCCAGTACCGCCAGCAGTACCCTCAGCGCCAACACCCTCAGCAGCTCCAGCTCCAGTAGTACCCGCAGGCCCAGCAGCTCCAGTACTCCCAGTACGAGCACCTCCGGGACCCGTGGCACCAGCACCCTCAGCAGCCGAAGAACCTCCAGCTCCAGCAGCACGCCTCCAGCACCGGGCAAACCACTCACGCACCTCCTGTGGAGAGAGTGGCTCCCGTCGAGACGGAGCACCCAGAGAACCTCCAGGCCCAGCACCGCCAGACGCCACACGAGCAGGCCCAGCTCCCTCAGGCTCCGCACCCCCAGGCTCAGCACCTCCAGGCGTAGCACCCCCAGGCTCAGCACCCCCAGACGTAGCACCCCCAGGCTCAGCACCCCCAGACTCAGCACCCCCAGGCTCAGGACCCCCAGTCGTAGCACCCTCAGGCTCAGCACCCCCAGGCTCAGCACCCCCAGGCGTAGCACCCACACGCTCAGCACCCCCAGAGTCAGCACCCCCAGGCTCAGCACCCCCAGCAGCACCAGAGTCACCAGCGACCTCCACAGGCTCGACTGCGTCTACCTGGGACACACCTGAAGGGGCAGGACCCTGAGGGGGAAGGGGGTCTACCGGGGGGGGACCTGGCACAAGGAAGAGCGGAGGCGGGGGGAGGGACGGAGTGCGGTAGGGGAAGAGACGGTAGTAGGGGACCGACTCGTCAAACGTGACGTCCTGGGAGGACAGAACACGGCGAGAGGTGGGGTGGTAGAACTGCCACCCTGGCGCGTCAGGGGGGAAGCCAAGGAAGACGCAGGGAGCAGCACGAGGGGACAGCTTGTCCGCAGACAAGTCGCGGACAAACGCCCGAGATCCCCAGACACGGAACGCAGACGCATCGCCAACCTTCCCCGTCCACAGCAAAGCTGGGGAGGTCTCCGGCATGGAGACCCTGGGCTGAAGGTTGATCTGATGCGCCGCGTACCGAACCGCAAACGGCCACAGAAAATGGGGGGCAGCCGCATGCATCATGGACGTACGGGCGATGTCCATGACCATGCCAATGCGGCGCTCAGCAATCCCATTTTGCTGTGGAGAGTCCGGAAGCGTGAAGGTCTGGCGGATGCCTCGTGCACGACAGTAGGCTCGCAGAAGGCCAGAGGAGAACTCTCCGCCTCTGTCAGAGTGCAGACGCAGAACAGGAAAGTCCGAGCCGAAACTCTCTCTGAGCTGGAGACGAGCTGCGCGGATCCAGTCGATCAACACCTCAGTGACATCACCCTTGCTGCGCAAGGGGAAGACTGTGGTGTAACGCGAGTAGTCGTCAACCACCAGCAGGAAGTAGCGCTCGTGACCCTGTCCACGGACGCGGGCCGGGCCCCACACGTCCATGTGTAGCGTCAGCAGCGGGGCCTCTGTCGGAGGAAACTGGGAGGAGTGAGGGGCAGCACGCTGCCGCCCCTCGACACAGGGGACGCAGGTAGGGGCAGGCCCCGGAGGAAGGGGAGGGAGGGACCGGGGAAGACCAGGGACAAGGACACGGGAGGCCATGCCTCGGAGACGAGGCAGGGAGGGGTGACCAAGGCGGTGGTGCCAGAGGAGAGTCTCGTGAGACAGGAGGCGACACGAGCAGGGGGCAGACTCAGGACCAGACCTGGACGCTGCAGCAAACACCTGACCCGACACAGCTGCCTGACCAGACGCAGTGACTGGAGGAGACTCAGTGGTCAGTGTGTACAGGCTCGACCCCGGCCGACGTGTAAACGTGGCCAAGTGTCGGCCCGTCCGAGCGTCCGTGCAGTGGGTCACACGCTGGCTCGCAGGAGTGAACTGGTGAACCCCCGCATCCTGTAGGTCAGCACCACTCACCAAGTTCGTAGAGAACGAGGGGAGGTAAAGACCAGACAGGGTGCCAGAGGAGGCCGCCGGACACGGGAGGACAGTGGAGAAGTGAGCAAGGACAGGACCCCCAGAGGGGTCTGCCAGAGAGACTGCAACTGGTCGACCAAGCGGCGTGAGTGTGGTGCGGTCTCGAAAGAAGGAGCGAGAAGCCCCCGCGTCAAGAGTGAAGGTGTGGGAGGCCGGAGCCGACGCAGTACCTGAGAGAGCAGACTCACCAGCACCTGAGGAAGCAGACGCACTGGCACCTAGAGCAGCAGCCTCGCTAGCACCTAGAGCAGCAGCCTCACCAGTACCTAGAGCAGCAGTCCCAATGCCCGGGTCGGGCGGAAAACACCAGTAACAGTCACCCTCATCACTAATTGTCACAGCATACATGGCAGCAAGAATAGCATCAAAGTCAAGGTCAAAGATAGCTACTCCCGCCCTAGACAGCTCGCCCCAGCGAGGGATCTCAGTGGCCTCAGGGAACTGGTGAAGCCAAGCGTCCGTCAGGCGGCCAAAGCAGCGCTGGGTGGAGTGCGCACCCCCGCACGGCTCACCCGCGCGGTCGCCGGTGCGTAGGACGTAGGTGCACGGACCAGTACCCCCACCCCGCTGGCGTGCAGCGTACCACTCACGAAGCTGCTGAGGGGGGGGGATCTCACGAGTGCGCTGCTGCTGCTGCTGCTGCTGCTGGCGCTGACCACCACCGGAGCCGACCCTCTGCGCAGCGCCACCCCGACCAGCTCCACCTCCTCCTCGCCGCTTTTCCCACAGTCGCTGACCTCATTACGCACCTGCGCACTAGTGACACTCGCTACCGCGCTGCCCTTCCTCCTGAGTTCTGCGCCAAGAACCCCCCCCCTATGTACATCACCCTCTACTACGTAGTCACCCGGCTCCCTCTCTGTTTGCCCCACCACCCTCACCGTTGACCTCCTCGAGGAGCGCCTCCTAGCAGCAGAGAAGAGCATAGTCGTTGTAGGAGCCTCTCGTGGTGACCCTCGTGCCCCTGTCTTTGAGGGGTGCTCCCCCTCTCCTCTCTTGCCCTCTGTTGCCTCTGCTGCTGCGGCCGACCTCGTTGGTCTTGAGTCGGTCGGTGCGGCGTCTGCCCCTAGCGGGAGACGCCGCACTGGCAAGGGCAAGGGGGGCAGGGGCGCTGGAGGAGCTAGCGGGGGCGGTGGAGGCGGCGGTGGAGGCGGAGGTACGGCAGGATGAGGCGGCTAAGTGCAGCAGTGGCAGGGGAAGAGTAGCGTGCAACTACAGCGTCGTACAAGGTCTTAGCACTCTTGTACTGACTAAAGTGTGCACGCTCAGCGGTAGGCAAGTGGCGGCGCACAGCAAGACGGGCAGCAGCGTCGCGTGTGGCCCACTGTGAGCGAACAGTGGCGTCAGCATCAGCAGCAGGGGCAGAAGAGGCACCAGAAGTGAGGTCAAAGAGAGAGAGACCGTCTGCCCTGTCGCACTGTAGGAAAAGCTGCAGGTCATCTACCCAGACGTCAAAGTCAATGGCCCGACCCTCAGCGTCAAAAGCGAGGACACTGGGGGTAGCATGACAGCAGTAGACTAGCAGCTGGAGCAGTAGGGTAAGGGCAGCGCAGTGGTAGAGGTGCCGCTCTTACCGGACAGGGCGGCTCGGGCGGCTCGGCAGCTCGGCGGCTCGGCAGCAACTGCAGCTCGGCGGCTCGGCGACTCGGCGGCTCGGGCGGCTCGGGCGGCTCGGCGGCACGGCGGCTCGGCAGCAACTGGAGCTCGGCGGCTCGGCGACTCGGCGGCTCGGGCGGCTCAGGTGGCTCGGCGGCTCGGGCGGCTCGGGTGGCTCGGGCGGCTCGGCAGCAGCGGCGGCTCGGTAGATCGGCGGCTCAGCGGCGCCGGCGGCTCGGTGGTGACGGCGGGGCCGCGTGGGGACGGCGGCGGGGCCGGGTGGGGCGGCGACGAGGCCGCTGAGGGCGGCGGCGGGGCCACGAAGGGTGGCGACCGGCGCCTTAAGGGTGGGGCCGCGGGGTCGTAAGGGTGGGGCGACGGGGCCAGCAGAGGCGGCGCCGGGGCCGGGAAGGGCGGCGCCGGGGCCGGGAAGGGCGGCGCCGGGGCCGGGAAGGGTGGCGCCGGGGCCGCAAGGGTAGGCGACGGGGCCGCGAGGGCGGCGTGGAGGGGTCGCGAGGGCGGCTCGAGGAGGCCGCGAGGGCGGCGCGAAAGGGCCGCGAGGGCGGCGCGAAAGGGCCGCGAGGGCGGCGCGACGCGACGGGACCGCGAGGGCGGCGCGACGGGGTCGCAAGGGCGACGCGACGGGGCCGCTAGGGAGGCGCGACGCGACGGGGCCGCTGAGGCGGCGCGACGGGGTCGTAAGGGCGGCGCGACGGGGCCGTGAGAGGGGAGCGCGACTCGGGCAGAGGCTGAGCGCGCTCCGGGCAGGAAAAAAAAGTTGGTGGGCCCTAGGAACAGTTCCCACAGGGGAACCTGCTCTATACCATGTGAAAATGAACGAGGAATGAAAAGACTAAGGGAAAGTTGGGTACAAGTACAAACCCTAGAAAGCTGTACCCCATATGTGCTACCCCACTATAGCCTACAGCAGCTAAGTCATATAAATCTGACACTACGGCCCCGGTATCGTCGAGCCTCTCGACTATTCTGAACCGATCTTGTGGACTAAAGCGCACCTCTTCTTTTCTTTGAAGAAGGGCGACCAGGGAAAGCAGAAGCAGGACGAGATGCACTACAAAACGCATAACACCTGGATTAAGTGGGCCATGACGAAGGCGAGATGGATTCTGAGCAAGGTGACACATGCATTCCGCAGATCCGGAGCGCAACAACTCCATGACGACGGTTGCTCCGACAACGATATCGGCACTCTGGGCGGATGGGCGCAGGGGGAGTTGCGGAGGTGTTATGTGTTCGGCATTCCGTTCAAGCCGGTTTGGCTGCTGGCAGGATTCAGCGGGGATCGTGGAGACTACTACATTGGCAGAGCCCGCGCCAAGCTTCCGCGGCATAAGGATAAGGAGAAGGATGAGTGGTTGCAGCTCTTGGATCTCTTGAGGCTTCACATTTTCCCCTGGGTCGAAGAGGGTTGGAAGAAGGTACGTGCTAGTGTACAGTCTTCGCGTTCGTAGCTTAATTTTGATACGCAATTATGAACCGTCGCATTTCTCCTGCATACTCGTCCCGTCAGGTCGAAGAATGGAACGCTGCGCAGACCGATCCGCTGAAGAGGCACTATGCGGGGGCGAGGTTCCTTGAGACCCTCGCGAGCATCGGACGCCTCGTTGTTGCACAGGATCTGGCTATGATGTGGGCGTTCTGCCATCAGCACGGCGTGAGAAACCCGCGGTGCAATTGCGAGAGGCATCCATATGTGCAGATGAGCCCCTTGTGCAACCACCCGCTGTTCCAAAAGTGGGCGTACCTGGTCGCTATCTCTCACTTCCAGGGCGAGAAGCTTCGGGCAACCGGCCAAACCACCGCCAAAGCAGTAAGTGTCTGCTATTAGTGGTAGAGAGAGGGAGTTATTCGTTCATGCTGAGTTCTGCCGTGTTGGTTTCTGCAGGACGCTATCTTTCGCACGACCGCAGAAGAGAAGATGCAGAAGATGCACCTCACCGCCAATATGCTCAGGGAGGAGCTTGGGATTTTGAGAGGACGTGAAATGCAGTTGGCGATGGAGAACGCTGAACTGAGGGAGAAACTCGCCGCTGAGCGAGAGGACAAGGCTCGGGTCATTGCAGAGTTCGAAGCATACAAGAGGTCTGTTGCGGCCAGGGATGACGCGGCAAACACCTCTGCAGAGATCGACGGATCGTCGAAGAGCGCGGGAACAGGAGCAAACCAGGCAACGGACGCATCCAAAGCACCAGTTGCCGTGGAAGAATTCTTCGTCGTGGTCGTTGTGTCTTGGCGCGAAGCCACCACTGTTGCTGCTGCCTGGAAAGTGTGGGTGCAGCCAAGCCTCATCATGGGCGGCAGGTCACTGCGCGAAGTCTTTGCAGAGTTCGACCGGTATAAGAAGAAGAACAAGAATTCCAGCTTCATCACCGCATATTCCCGGTTCGCTGACAAAGGTACGCCCGGGATGGCTGTGGGTGCATGCGAGCGAAAGATGCGTCGCGTGCATCGTGTCATGGTTTCCGTGGAGACGCTAAGAAAAGACAGCTCCGAGGCGGCGACCGCAACGGCCATTAAGCTGCTGGACGAGGTTTTACTCGTGTGCAACTTCACGGAATTCACCAACGGCCTGGCGGTGCTGCATGAGACTCCGCCCATCAAGAAACAGAAGACCGGTTCGTCGACGGAAAAGAGGACCGTCAACGACTTGGCGCAACGCAGAGTGGGCTGGCTGTTAGTCAAGAAGGGCCTAAGCGACCAGGAGTGGGCAACTTCGCTGTTTGGGGATGATGAGTGGGAGGAGATCCACAAGGAACACATGGCGCAGGAGAAGGCGGAAGAGGAGAAACAACGAACCGCTGCGGCGAAGAAGGCGGAACGGGAAAAGGCGAAGGGCGAAGCGTCGAAACGCTAGGAGCAGAAATGAGGGGGCATGTACCTTTAGGGTGGGGCGGTTTAGTTATTTGGGTACTTTATTCCGGTTGTACTGAATATGCACTACAGGCACTTGTCTGTCTTTGTAGAAGCCCAATTTGGGGCTTGTATGCCACCTTTTTCCCTGGACGCGCTGTTTTTCGTAGAATGTTTTTCTGGTCTATGCATTGAAGCACACATCGATGGTATACACCGGGCGAAATTCTGTAGACTCATGTCGTATACGATGTTATTCTATAGAGCGGCGTCGATGAATTCACTCTCACGATTGTAGATGTGTGTTCTTAGGCCACTCGGTAGACTTTTGCGTGGATGTATTCAGTCTCAGCATATGTTTCTGGGCAAAGGAGTGTCATATTCTACTAGTAGCAACGAAGATCCTATCCATGACGGTAGATATTATCCATACGTGGGTTTTTCTGCGGTATAGTGTCGTTTCCGATTTGCCTCCAGAATTTGGCGTCGAGGAATTCAATCTCCATAGCAGAAAGGTCTGTGCATAGGAATACCGTATACGATTCTTAACAAGGTGCTCCCTAAGACAAGATGTTATGCGATTGTTTAGCCCCATACTTCTACCTCCTCGTAGAAGCCGAGTATTAAACGTAGATTAAGTGTCGTAGAAGGCCGTCCTGTCATCAATTATTTTATTCGGCTGGCCCTCCCTTTGATGGCGAGTTCTATCGGCTGCATTGCTAGCTCCATACGCGCCCTAAAAATTTCGCGAGTGTAGTGAAGGTTTGCATAGCAAAAATACATCTCTCATTGTATTGTATACAACAACACCTATATTTATACACGGTAAAAAAAAAAACGGAAAGGAAAATCTATTTCTACTGCGGTACTAACAAGACCTCCAAAGAACCCGTCTGCCTCTATCACTCCTGGCCGCCAGTGCCGGTGTTCTCCTCCGTCGACGCATCCTTCGTCGCGTTCCCCTTCGCGGACGATTTCTTGGTTTTCTTCTCCTTATCCGCCCCTGTTGTGGTATCCCGGCCGCCCAACTTCTTCTGCAGGACTCCGAGGCAGACGCCCTGGTGCTGGCGAAGGCCTCTTGATGCCATGCTGCATAGGCACCAAGAGGTCACCACCTTTGCCACCACCCTTGTCATCCGCTTCGTATCCCCGGCCGCTCGCGACTCTGCCGGAAGCGCTTTCAGCAGCGCATCCGACAGGGGCAGAATCCACGCTTCCTTGTCATGCTCCTGATCCTTGACCGACCTCATCGCCTCAACCGCAACGCAAGCAACCGAGGCTGCAAGCGTCGCAAGGGCATCGAGGACGGCAGAGGACACATCGGCCGCAGAAGATGACGAGGCAGCCGACGAGGCGGTGGCAGCAGTGGACGATCTGGCAGCAGAAGATGCTATGGCCGTAGAAGTTCCACGTGCAGCTGATGTTGCGACCGTCTCCCACTGGGTCTGGTCCACATTCGTGGATGCGGCCCACATTACAGACAATGTGGTGGCAAGTCCGACTGCGTGTTCTTCCGTCGAATAGCCGTTTTCACCCTCCACGCCTCCCACCATCTTCTGCCACGCAGTTATTCCGACACCAGCGCAGGCAGCTACCTGAAAGCCATCCCCCTGCTGCTGCCGAAGAGCCGTGTTGGTTTGAACGAGTGAGAATCTGCACAAGACACCAGTGTCGCAAGATCAGAACCATCGAACTTCGCGGGTGTTTAGAAGTTGCAACTGTCCATCACATAAACACTCACCCGTCCGGTTTGTCCAGGTGGAGCTCGTTGATGACGCTCCACACCCCTGTTGGAAGCCACGTTGTGAAGTCGAGGTCTTCTCGCCACTTGTTAATACGGTTTGGATTCATGCCGTATGCCTGCATGTCAATATCCGGGAAGTAGAACTTCCAGCAGACTGCGACCGTGTATGCCCTCTCCCACACCGTTTTGTGAGAGCCGAGGTTCCGCTTCCGGCCGCCGACGGTCTGCTCAGACGTCCACTTCTGCAATGCTCCCTCGCCCCATTGAGAGAACCCGCTTCCCCTGAACGGCAGGCAGACACCCAAAGTCTTACCCTTGTCGTCCACTACGGCGTTTTTCCTGTTGTCACACTTGTCGATCTTCATCCCTTTCTTTTCCCCTGGGATTATCGGTATCAACTCCTGTATACCAGCTGCATGCCGTCTCTTAGCCGCATGACCCTCCGGCTCCCTGTCCTCCTGTCTAGGGCGCCTCCTGGACACCTCTACGTTCTGTCCGAGAACAATAGCCACGCCCTCTGCTACATTCGCCTCCCCGCTCTCAATCAACAGCAAACTCCCCAGGCCCTCAGCTATTTCCTCCTCGACTCCCTTCCAGGTCCCCTCCCCTGCATGGTCAAATCCCCCTCTTCCATCTCCCTTGCCAATCGTTCCGTCTCTTCAGCCATCGCCTTTGCCTTTGCCTCCAGTTGCCGCTGCTGTTCCACGTAGGATGCAAGTCTGGCCCTCTTCTCTACTCGGCACTGCTCCGCCTTCTGCAGGCGCTCCATCTCCTGCTGTTTCGCCCTCTGCCGCCGCTCGGCCTCCTCTGCCTCCTTCTTCTGCGCCTCCTCCTTCTGCAGGCGCTCCATCTCCTGCTGTTTCGCCCGCTGCTGCCGCTCGGCCTCCTCTGCCTCCTTCTTCTGCGCCTCCTCCTTCTGCAGGCGGTCCAATTCCTGCTGTTTCGCCCTCTGCTGCCGCTCTACCTCCTCTGCCTCCTTCCTCTGCCTCTCCTCCTTCTGCAGGCGCGCCATCTCCTGCTGTTTCTCCCTCTCCTGCCTCTCGGCCTCCTCTGCATCTTTCCGCTGCGCCTCCTCCTTCTGCAGGCGCGCCATCTCCTGCTGTTTTTCCCTCTCCACCTGCTCTGCTTCCTCTGCCTCCTTCCTCTGCGCCTCCTCATTTTGCTGGTGCTCCTTCTCCTGTTGTTTCTCCCTTTCCTCCCGATCGTCCTCCTCAGCCTCCTTCCTCTGCGCATCCTCCTTCTGTCGCCGATCTCCCTCCGTTGCCTTCCTACCCTGCTCCTCCTTTTGCCGCCGCTCTGCGTCCAATCTCAGAACTACTGACAGCCGCTTTTCCACCTCACTTAGCATCCCCTCCTTCCACCCCTTCATCCCCGTCTTCATCTCCTTCACAGCCTCCATCACTTCCTTCATTCCCGCCTCCACCTCCTTCTGCCGTCGCTCTTCCTCCTGATGTTTCTTCTTCCTCCGCCGCTCTGTGGCCTCTACATCCTTCCTCTTCTCCTCCTCCTCCTTCCGCCATTGCTCGTCCAGTTGTTTCTTCTTCTGTCTCTCCTCGTCGTCCGCCACTTGTTTCCTCTTCGCGTCCTGTTGTTGTCGCCGCTCCGCGTCCTCTTGCCTCGCCTTCTTCTGCCGCTCGGATTCTTCTCGCAAAACCGCGCTCAACCTCCCCACAATCTGGTTTACCATCCCATCCTTCATCTCCTTCATTTCTGCCTTCATCTCCTTCATCATCGCCTCCTTCATCTCCTTCATTCCCTCTCTCATCTCCTTCTGCCGACGCTCTTCCTCCTGTTGTTCCTTCTTCCGTCTCTCTGCGGCGTCTGCTTCCTTCCTCGTGGCCTTCTGCCTCCGCTCCTCGTCCTGCAGCCTATCCCTGTTCCGCCGCTCAGAGTCTTCTCTCAGAACCTCTCTCAACCTCTCTTCCACCCCCTTTAACGTGCCCTCCGCCATCCCCCCTCCCGACTGGCGAACCTGATCACTCACCCTTACGATACTCTCCCGCAAGTTGGAGAGTCTCGTGTCCACCTGCTCGCGAAACCTGGCCGCCGTTTCAGCTTGGCGCCGCCGTTCCTCGTTTCCATGGCGGACTTCTTCCAGGTTGGCCAGGGCGTCGCGGCAGTAATGGACGGTCAGATCGGCCACGTCGCGACTGATGTTGCTGTTGCGGGCCGCCAAGTTGCAGAACGTCTGCGTCACCATTCGGGCTAAGAGCGTCAGACGACGCGTTACCTCTGCCGGGCTTATGTCCCAGCTTTCGGCCTCGACGAACCTGTCACCTTGTTCGACCAGGACTGTACTCGTGCGCTGCAGCATCCGCCGTATTGCCGTCTCTGCCTCGACCCACTCTACCTGCCAAAACGCTTCTGCCACCCCGCCTTGGCCGAGATTCCTCTCCACTGCTCTCTGGTGAAGGGTAGGCCGCCTCTGCCTGTTGAGATCCACTGTATCCCTAGGCGCCCCATCGTCTGCCACCCTCCATGGCCCCTCTACCCCGGTTCCTGGTCCCAGCGTCGGACTTCCTCCCAAAAATATCCGGACTGCCGGATGTACCGTATCCTCCTCATTCTGCTCCTCTTCTGTTTCCAGCGCATCTCCCTCGTAGTGCCCCACTCCAGCCTCCGGGACCACACGAACCTCCTCCATAGTATTTTGACGCTCTGTCTCTGCCATGCTCTGCGTCTCTTGGTATTCGAATACCTGCGACGCTGCCTCCTCGTCATGCTGCCCCTCTTCCTCTGCGATGATGTGCCCCTCAGCACCCGCCGTCTCCCGTCCCTCTGTCTGTATCATTTTATTCCCATCTGAACCCTCCTCTCCATCTGGCTTCCTACGTGCGTCTGCCTCAGCCTGCTTCTGCTCCTCGGCCTCTGCCATCTTCTGCGCCTCACCCTCCGCCTTCTGCCGCGCCTCTACAACAGCCTTCTTCCGCGCTTCTGCCCGAGCCAGTTGTAGCGCCTCTTCCGCAGCCTGTTTCTGCTCCTCTGCCTCCGCCTTCTGCCGCGCCGCTGCTTCTGCCTTATTCCGCGCCTCTCCTTCCTTATGTGCGTCTGCCTCCTCCATATGCAGCGCCGCTGCCTTATCCTTCTGGCTCGCCGCTGCCTCTGATTCCTTCTGCGCCTCTGCCTCAACCATCTTCGGCGCCGCACCCTCCTCCTTCTGCTGCGCCGCTGCATCTGATTCCTTGTGCGCCTTTGCCTCAACCATCTTCGGCGCCGCACCCTCCTCCTTCTGCTGCGCCGCTGCCTCTGATTCCTTCTGCGCCTCTGCCTCAACCATCTTCGGCGCCGCACCCTCCTCCTTCTGCTGCGCCGCTGCCTCTGATTCCTTCTGCGCCTCTGCCTCAACCATCTTCGGCGCCGCACCCTCCTCCTTCTGCTGCGCCGCTGCCTCTGATTCCTTCTGCGCCTCTGCCTCAACCATCCTGGGCACCGCACCCTCATCCTTCTGCTGCGCTGCTGCCGCTGATTCCTTATGTGCGTCTGCCTCATCATTCTGCTGCGCCGCTGCCTCATCCTTCTGGCTCGCCGTTGCCTCTGATTCCTTCTGCGCCACTGCCTCCACCACCTGCAGCTCGACTGCCTCCGACGTCAGCTCTGCTGCTGCACCCGCTTCTTTACGCGCGACTGCCTCCGCACTCTTGACCGCCTCTGCACCCACCTTCTGCTGCGCCGCAGCCTCTGCTTCCTTTGGCGCCCCGTCCTCTGCCGTAAGTGCCGCCTCTGCATCGACGAACCGATGGGCCGCATCCTCTGCTTTCTGGTGCGCCTCTACCTCCGCCATCTTATGAGCCTTTGCACCCGCGTTGCTCTGCGCCTTCTTTTTCGCCTCTCCCGAATTCTCTGGCACGTCGACGTCCCCTCTCCGGGCCTCTTCAGCCGCCTTCCGCTTTACGCTGGGCAAGCGAACTTTCACGTATCCCCTATCCTCCTCGATATGCTGCCGCACATTGCTGGCGAGCTCCTCTCCTACCACTCCCACGTGTGCCCTTGCAGCGGCTCGTGCCCCACGCTCCCATGCTTCACGTATGTCTCCTGTTCCCGGGAAAGAGACGATAGGATCGGTGTCGCCATCACGGCGCCGTTGCCTCTCTTCAGCCCGTCTCCTCTTGGCTTCTGCTTCGGCCATCCGCTTATCATCAGCCGCCTTCTTCCACTGCTCCTCTGCCTGTTCGACCTGACTTGGCAGCTGTGGATCTTCTACACCCTCCTCGCCTACATCTGCTACACTTGCCAAGTCGGTCTCCGTCCGTGCTTCGCGTTCCGGCGGCCTCCTAACCCGATCAGCAAACCTGAGCTGCCTAACTCCAGACCTAACACGCTCGTCCGCACGGGCTGACCTTGATGTCGGGCCACTCAGTAGTGCACCCCCTGGTGCAGGTCGGCGGGAATATGAAATTTCCCCCACTCTTGGATTTGCGTCCCGGTTTGCGGCAGGTACGTCTCTCTGTCCCTCTACCGCTTCGGATCTGTTCTGTGCCGCCGGCTCCATGGTATTCCCGGACCGTTCCGGTGCGCTCTCCACCACTCGAGCCTCATGGGTCGTCATGACTGCATCCGGGGCGGGACGGAGCTGGACTCCTTGCAGGTCGAAAAAGGCCCTGCAGGTCGACTCTAGCATACTCCGAATTTCTTTCGCGTTGTTTTTCCCCTTCCCTAAGGCGATCATCGGCTCTGCAGTTTGAATCGCCATGACATCCCCCCATTTGTCCAGCAACTTGCTGAACAGATGGGTAACGTGCAGCCCGGAACCCACTTGCCTCTGTCCCTGAACCTTGTTGATCTGCAACATGTGCGTGAAAAGGTGGTTGTCAGACACTCCCGTAACATTTTACAAGCTTAATATCATACAACGCTTAAATCATAAAAATAGAGGCTCCTTACCCTGCCTTCCTCCAGAATCAGTTCCTCTAGGCGATCCCTCAAATCTTTCTGCACCGCTTCGGCATGGCTGCCAGAGACCCTGCGACCTCGGCTGTATTCCACATCTAGTTGTCGAATAAGCCAGCTGAAGGGCAAGGGGGTCGCAAATAATCAATAACATGCGTCCATACAAACCGCACATCTGATTAAGGAGTGACACTTACTCGAACACCTCCTTGGCATGGTCGCTGTGGCGATGGGTTGGGATTGGAGATTTAGGGTCGAAGTGTAGCACACGCGTACGGTACTCTCCGCGGGGATGTGCTAACAAATCTTGCGGGTTCATCAGCACCATGAGACTGATCGCCGTCGAGTGAACAACAGGGACTCTGCGGTACATCGAAGTTTGGATTAGCAAGATAAGCTGGTGTCATCGACAGACGTTGCGGATCCATGTCAAGAAACTCACTCTGATATCATGGGTATCAAAACCATCTGGTAGTCCAACAACGACCGATGTTCGCTGCCACAACTGGGGACACGCGGGACGGCAGACCTCAAACGCCGATGCTCGGTAGGAGCCAGAATCTTTATGTCCCTGCGAACGCGAGGATCCCCGATCTTGCCCTTGGCAACCTCCCTGCATCCAAGCCAACATGTCGCAGAGGTAAGAAGATAGCAGGTGCGTGTCTAAAAATACAAGGGTTTAACGTGCCGATGAAGTCGGCGTGCGTTACAAACCGCGCTTGGATACATACACAAGGCCGAAAAGTAACAACGCCTCGTTCCACTCTTCCTGACGAGCGATTAACATTTCATAAGACTCCCGCCCTAGTCGTACAGACAATCCGCAGCCATCTGTGATTAACTGGGATGACATCGCGTAAGTAAGCCAGAAGATGGCAGGTAGCTATACGGTTACTACCATACACTGTCCGCCTGCAGGATTTGAGGCCGACACTAGAATGAGAGGGAAGCTTGTGAGGAGGCTAGTTGTGGAACCAAGACTCAGATTGGAATGGCGAGAATGACCTTGAGCTTTGGTGCACCCACCCTGATAACAACTTCTGCTTCGCTGGTAGAATTGGTTGTGCTCTCGTCCTCACAGAAGGTGGGAAAGGCTTTGCTACAAACGCCAGGCGTAGTAAGACTTTTCTGCCCCCTACATCAAAATATTAGGCTTCTCACCATTTCCCTTCGAACATCTGCGAACTACTCTTTGCATCCTTCTACAGTGATTGGCCTATTTGTCGCCAGATTGTTCTCCTAAATCTTCTACTTCAGTTGCTGGTTGGTTGATTGCCAACCTTATATGCCATGTAAGCATATTGCATGTTCTGCGGTGCATTGCATGGTCTCAGCTTTGCCTCGACCTAGTACGAAATGGTGACGGGCAGCCCCTAAAAAAAAAGAAAGGTGTCCTGTGACAGGTTCATGACAGGCTGCCACGTATAACTATCCCATCCGCATGGTTCCCTCCGCAACGTGGAAATAGAGCAGTCTCTGCGACCTGTCACACGTGTCAGAAACCGAATGACTGTGTACATCCCACAGTACCGCTATAGGGGTACTCGCGTAGCACGTATAGTGCTAGTTTTTGTAACCCATAAAACAAACACAAGCATGAACTTTGCATGATTAGCACACCCAATTCTAAAACGGATAATCCTATAAGTGTGAGATGAGTGCCCTATCAATAAGGGCTCATTAGCACCCGTATAACAATGGCATTTAAATACAAAACAAATGTTGTACATTTCAACAAAGTGATCTGCTCCCGCCTGCAGAGAAGAGCATGAAAAACATATCAAACCTCTACGAAATTAGGTGAATTTCATAGGGGAGTCTGGAATATGTGTGATGAGAGTCCCCTATGAAAATCAGATCATTTGCTCAAGGATAAGTGGGTGATTTCTGTTGCAACCTGATTCCAGGCAATTCTGCACAGAATTCTGCAGACTTCTGCACAACAAGGCTTAAAAACCATATCAAACCTTGGGAAAATGAGGTGAATTTCAGGTGGGGGTCTGGAATATGTGTGGTGAGAGTCCCCTATAAAAATCAGCTCATTTGCCCAAGGAGAAGTGGGTGATTTCAATTGCAACCTGATTCCAGGCAATTCTGCACAGAATTCTGCAGACTGCTGCACAACAAGGCTTAAAAACCATATCAAACCTTGGGTAAATGAAGTGAATTTCAGAGGGGAGTCTGGAATATGTGTGGTGAGAGTCCCCTATAAACATCAGCTCATTTGCCCAAGGAGAAGTGGGTTATTTCAATTGCAACCTGATTCAAGGCAATTCTGCACAGAATTATGCAGACTGCTGCACAACAAGGCTTAAAAACCATATCAAACCTTGGGCAAATGAAGTGAATTTCAGGTGGGGGTCTGGAGTATGTGTGGTGAGAGTCCCCTATAAAAATCAGCTCATTTTCCCAAGGAGAAGTGGGTGATTTCAATTGCAACCTGATTCAAGGCAATTCTGCACAGAATTCTGCAGACTGCTGCACAACAAGGCTTAAACACCATATCAAACCTTGGGAAAATAAGATGAATTTCCGAGGGGAGTCTGGAATATGTGTGATGAGAGTCCCCTATAAAAATCAGCTCATTTGCCTAAGGATAAGTGGGTGATTTCAGTTGCAACCTGATTCCAGGAAATTCTGCACAGAATTCTGCAGACTGCTGCACAACAAGGCTTAAAAACCATATCAAACCTTGGGCAAATAAGATGAATTTCCGAGGGGAGTCTGGAATATGTGTGATGAGAGTCCCCTATAAAAATCAGCTTATTTGCTCAAGGATAAGTGGGTGATTTCAGTTCCAACCTGATTCCAGGCAATTCTGCACAGAATTCTGCAGACTGCTGCACAACAAGGCTTAAAAACCATATCAAACCTTGGGCAAATGAGGTGAATTTCAGAGGGGAGTCTGGAATATGTGTGGTGAGAGTCCCCTATAAAAATCAGATCATTTTCCCAAGGAGAAGTGGGTGATTTCAGTTGCAACCTGATTTCAGGCAATTCTGCACAGAATTCTGCAGACTGCTGCACAACAAGGCTTAAAAACCATATCAAACCTTGAGAAAATGAGGTGAACTTCAGAGGGGAGTCTGGTATATGTGTGATGAGTGTCCCCTATGAAAATAAGATCATTTACCCAAGGCAAATTGGTTGATTTCACAAGAAATATGGTTCCAGGCATTTCTGCACAGAATTCTGCACCCGCCTGCAGAATATAACATGAAAAGCATGGCAAACCTTGATGAAATGAAGTGAAAACTGGATGGGGATCAGGAATAGGTGTGATGACAGTGCCCTATCAAAATGGGCTCATTTTTCCAAGGAGAAGTGGGTGATTTCACCTGACACATCACACCAGGCAACTCAGCACTAACTTCCTTGCAAGAAAAAGTCCACCAAATCAGTTTGCATAGAGCTAAAAATGTTCAGGGGTGTCAGAATATGTTGTTTGTGTAGCCTGCAGTGGGGTACTCTATAGTGAGTACAGCCCCTTAGGGTTTGCTATTTGTATCCTGCTGCTTGCTAGTTCAACCATTCCTTCTCAATTCTGTTCCTGCACACAATCCTAGCTCGTACTTGGCTCCTCGTTACTAGTCCTACTGTGGCCTAGGCTACTAAGCCTAGGCCGTACTCCTACTACTTCTGACAAGGGGGGCTGGAACAGGTGTCATAACACTAACAATGCAAAAAAATATGGTCACCACATAACACATGTGTGTGATGCCCAGAGAATGACTTTACATGTGCTATGAGCAACCTTAGTTGACCCAAAAGTGACAAAATGTAACAAATTTGACAAAATAACAAACTCATGCCCGCTGGTAGAGGACATCAAGGAGATGTTGGAAATCCATATTTGTGTGCAAATGACCAACAAATTATGGAGTTATGAGCCAAACCATATGGAATTTTGACTTGGCCATTTTGACATTCTGCTTGTCAGAATTACACCAGTCTCAACAACAAAGTTTATATACAAATACTGTAGAACAGTGGTTGCGACGTCGCTTTCGTGCGACCGTCCATAATCCAAACCGGTAGTGTAACCACTCTTGCGCCCATTTCGTTGCGCCATCAGGTGGTTTGGATTTTGGAAGGTCCAACACCCTTTTGCGCCGAATCCGAGTCAAATCCGTCTCGCCACGGGCAAAATGGAGTTTCGCCAAAAAAAATGAATCCCGGTCGAAGCAGAGGATCCGAGTGCTGCTTCCGCCTTTGGCCCGCCCTTCCCCCGTCAGGTGGTTTGGATTTCTAGGGTTGGGGGTAAGGGGGAGAGCGGGGGAGGGGGGGAAAGCGGGGAATGTGTGAGTGCTGTCCACAGTAGCCGGGGAAGGAAGCGTCGATTCTTGTCGCGTACGCTTGGAGATGGTGAAGTGGAGTGGGCCCGCTTGTTCAAGAAGGAACATCGAAGCAGCCAACCAGCGTGGAGAGAAGCGCACATGCAAGCGCATCGGGTCTGTTGGGGCGTGGTGGCACCGAACCATCATTGTGAAAGCCACGCAAGCGCAAACTCCATGGGTGCAGGTGGAGGGTGATGTGTTACCTGGCTGGCACGAGCAACTATGTGTAGGAGTGGTGTCTCTGTATCAAGCCCGTGGATGCGAA